ACACCTCATCACATAACTAACAACGGGTCAACAAGCCCCCCCACAGTAACTAACAAAGGTCAACACAGCCTCACTCACGTAACTAACAACAGGTCAACCAGCCTCACCACAGTAACTAAAACAGGTCAACACAGCCTCACTCACAGTAACTAACAACAGGTAAACACAGCCTCACTCACAGTAACTAACAACAGGTCACACAGCCTCACTCACATTAACTAACAACAGGTAAAACACAGCCTCACTCACATTAACTAACAACAGGTCAACACAGCCTCACTCACAGTAACAAACCAACAGGTCAACAACAGCCCACTCACAGTAACTAACAACAGGTCAACACAGCCTACTCCAGAAAACTAACAACAGGTCAACACAGCCCACTCACAGTAACTAAAACAGGTCAACACAGCTCATCACAGTAACTAACAACAGGTCAGCAGAGCCTCACTCACAGAAACTAACAACAGGTCAACACAGCCTCACTCACAGTAACTAACAAAAAGGTCAACACAGCCTCACTCACAGTAACTAACAACAGGTCAACACTGCCTACTCACAGAAAATAACAACAGGTCAACACAGCCTCACTCACAGTAACTAACAACGGTCAACACAGCCTAAACCACAGTAACTAACAACAGGTCAACACAGCCTCACCACAGTAACTAACAACAGGTCAACACAGCCACACTCCAGTAACTAACAACAGGTAAAACACACCCCTCACTCACAGTAGCTAACAACAGGTCAACACAGCCTCACTCACAGTAATTTAACAACGGGTCAACACACCCTCACTCACAGTAACTAACAACAGGTCAACACAGCCTTACTCACAATAACTAAAACAGGTCAACACAGCCTCACTCACAGTAACTAACAACAGGTCAACACAGCCTCACTCACAGTAACTAACAACAGGTCAACACAGCCTCACACCCCAGTAATTGTAATTTCCATCCTAAACATTAATTTCACTGTTTAACCTAAACTTTAAATTTCACTGTTTAACCTAAACATTAATTTCATGTTTAACCTAAACTTTAAATTTCACTGTTTAACCTAAACATTAATTTAAACTGTTTAACCTAACATTAATTCTTCCTTTAATAAACAATACAAACATTACTATTCTAAAACCCCAATTTTAACTCCAAATGTTAAACATTTAACACCTGTCTTAAACATCAAGTTGTTGATGATGTTGTTGTTGTGGTTGTGTTGTTGTTGTTGCATGTGAATAAAACATTCAACACCTAAAGTTGTTGTTGTTGATGTTGCAGAGGATGATATGGAAGAATTTAGCTTGACGGTGCAGAGGTACCGGCCGGAGGAACTGCACAAGCTGGCTAAGACCACCAGGTTCACTAAGAAGGAGATACAACTTATATACCGAGGTTTTAAACAGGTGAGGTGTGTGTTTGTGTGTGTGTGTGTGTGTGTGTTTTGTGTGTGTGTGTGGTGTGTGTGTGTGTGTGTGTGTGTGTGTGTGTGTGTGTGTGTGTGTGTGTGTGTTTTGTGTGTGTGTGTTGTGTGTGTGTGTGTATGTGTGTGTGTGTGTGTTGTGTGTGTGTGTGTGTGTGTGTGTGTGTGTGGTGTGTGTGTGTTGGGGTTTTGTGTGTGTGTGTGTTTTGTGTGTGTGTGTGTGTGTATGTGTTGTGTGTGGTGTGTTTGTTGTGGTTGTGTTGTGTGATGTGGTGTGTGGGGTGGTTTGTGTGTGTGTGTGTGTGTGTGGGGTGTGTGTGTGTGTGTGTGTGTGTGTGTGTGTGTGTTTTGTGTGTGTGTGTGTGTGTGGTGTGTGTGTGTGTGTGTGTGTGTGTTGTGTGTGTGTGTGTGTGTTTGGTGTGTGTGTGTTGTGTTTGTGTTTTTGTGGTGTGTGTGGTGTGTGTGTGTGTTTGTGTGTGTGTGTGTGTTGTGTGTGTGTTTTGTGGTGTTTTGGTTGTGGTGTGTATTCTGTGTAAATGTGTCATCTAAGTCCTCTAAATAATCCAAGTCATCTAAGTAATCTAAGTAATCTAAATCATTTAAAGTAATCTAGGTCATGTAAGTAATCTGGTCCCTGTAAGTAATCTTTGGTCAAGTAAGTAATCTAGGTCAGTAAGTAATCTAAGCAGGTGGGTCAGTACTCTACATTACCTGGACTTTCCCGGCAGCTTAATTTAAGCATCTCACTGCCAACAAATGGCACACACACGGTGGGCGGGGCTCAGGACACGCCCCCGGTGGGCGGGGTCAGGACACGCCCACGGAGGGCGGGGGCTCGGGGCACTACCACGGTGGCGGGGCTCGGACACGCCCACGGTGGGCGGGGCTCAGGACACACCCACGGTAGGCGGGCCAGGACACGCCACAGTGTGCGGGGGAAATCAGGGCACACCCACGGTGGGGGGACTCAGGACACGCCTACAGTGGGCGGGGGCTCGGATACACCCACGGTGGGCGGGGCTCAGGGGCACTACCACGGTGGCCGGGGGTTCAGAACACGCCCCCGGTGGGCGGGGGTCAGGACACTACCTAATATCTCACCAATAATGTATCATGAAGTGCGTGGCCAAAATCTCTTTCAGGATTGTTAACCAATAGGGAAAAATGCTTTCGCCCCTCGGGAAAGGGGGGGCTTAGGATACCACCATGAGCATCCCACCAATCATAACTCTTTATGGAGGAGCTTATTTTACATTCCGAGAATATCAACTAATAGAAAAACTGCCACGCCCCTTTGTGGGCGTGGCTTGGGGTATACTCAGCCATTCATTCCCGTCTTGATGGGCGGGCTAAAGTCTCTCTTCGGGATCTTTAACCAATAGAAAGAAAGCCACGCCCTCGGTGGGCTGGGGCATGGTCTACACTAGTTCAAATTAATGCTATGTTTAATGAGTGAACGTTTTTATTGAACGTGGAGAATAGAAAGTAACGTTGAACGTGGAGAAGAGAGAGTAACGTTGAACGTGGGGAAGAGAAAGTAACATTGAACGTTTGGGGAAGAGAGAGTAACGTTGAACGTGGAGAAGAGAAAGTAACATTGAACGTGGGGAAAGGGGGAGTAACGTTGAACGTGGAGAAGAGAAAGTAACACTGAACGTGGAGAAGAGAGTAACGTTGAACGTGGAGAAGAGAGAGTAACATTGAACGTGGAGAAGAGAGTCTGTTCAGGCAGTGAATCCTCAGCCATTAACGCTCTGCTTTACAGTTAAACCAGGATTTAAACCCGGTGTTAGTGTACGGTTTTAAAACGCAGTTGGTAATAACAACACTGGTGTTAGTGTAGTTGTGTACGTCAGACACTGTACCTGTGTACTTCAAGCACTTTAAACCCCTGTACGTCAGCTCTGTACCCTGTGTACGTCAGACAAATGTACCCTGTGTACGTCAGGACACTGCACCCTGTGTACGTCAGACACTGCACCCTGTGTACGTCAAACACTGTACACCGTGTACGTCAGACTCTGTACCCTGTGTACGTCAGACACGTACCCTGTGTACGCCAGACACTGTACCATGTGAACGTCAGACACTGTACCCTGTGTACGTCAGACACTGTACACAGTTTTACGTCAACACTGTACATCGTGTACGTCAGGCCCATATTAGAGTATGAAAGCCCCAGTGTGGAACTCACACCTGATCAAGCAAGACAAGAAATTAGAGAAAGTGTAAAAGTCTAAAACCCAGACTAGTCTCGGAGTACGGGGCAGAGGAGGGGTTAAAGGGAAACTAAACCCTGACGACATGGCTGTCAGTATTTGTTATAACAACATATAAAATACTGTGTGAGTGGTTTGACAACCGACAAGTTGAAGAAATGAGACACTTACGAAAACCATATGGGGTAACATATGAGGTAATCATCCTCAACCTGGAATCGATGTGTTCAGTCCATCACTCTTTCAGGAATTACAGCGTAGGGCCAGAGAGGTGACTTATTTTACTGCAGTCAGGTTGCCCAAACCCTTGGACGACGATCTACTTACACATAGTGGGGGGTTTCCCACTGTGATCCGCCCCCTCCTGCTACTTACACTAGGGGGGTCCCACTGTGATCCCGCCTCCTCCTGCTATTTTACACTAGGGGCGGGTCCCACTGTGACCCCGCCCCCTGCTACTTACACTAGTGGCAGGTCCCACTTTTGATCCCGCCTCCTCCTGCTACTTACACTAGGGCGGGTCCCACTGTGATCCCGTCTCCTCCTGCTACTTACACTAGGGGCAGGTCCCACTGTGATCCGTCTCCTCCTGCTTCGACTCACCTGATGGCATTATGTAAGTCACCTTCTGACCTTTTGCTGCACTTCCTACAAGACTTGCTGGACTGAACACATCGATTTCCAGCTGAGGGGGACTGATTACCTTCAAACTCTCCTCTTCTTACCCCTGTTACTTTGTATTGTTGAGAAGCCACTTGTGTGGCGAAACGTTTCTTCAATAAAGATTCCATCGTGTAGCATAAGTGTCACAATTCATATTAAAATGACAAGGTGGATAAAGGACAGAATCGTTCAGTGATGTGACACAGGCAAGGAAAGGGACACAGCAAGAAGAAAGGGACACAGCAAGAAAGGGACACAGCAAGATATGGGGGGACACAGGCAAGAAAAGGGACACCGCATGAAAGGGACACAGCAAGAAGGGACACAGCAAGAAAGAGACACAGCAACATAGGGAAACAGCAACAAAGGGACACAGCAAAAAAGGGACACAGCAAGAAAGGACAAAGCAAGAAAGGGACCAGGCAGAAAGGGACACAGCATGAAAGGGACACAGCACAAGTGGACACAGCAAGAAAGGGACACAGCAGAAAGGACACAGCAGAAAGGGACACTGCAACATAATGGACACACAACAAGGGGGACACAGCAACAAAGGAACAAACAACAAAGGGACAAGAGCAACAAAGGAACAAAGCAACAAGGGGGAACAGCAACAAAGGAAAAGCAACAAGGGTACACAGCAACAAGGGAACACACCAACAAGGGGGAACAAGCAACAAGGGAACACACCAACAAGGGTACACAGCAACAAGGGAACACACCAACAAGGGTACACAGCAACAAGGGAAAACACCCCAACAAGGGACACAGCACAAGGGAACACACCAACAGGGGGACCACAGACAACAAGGGAACACACAAAACAAGGGGGACCAGCAACAAGGGGACATGAGCAACAAAGGAACAAAAAACAAAACAAAGGAACAAAGCAACAAGGGGGACACAGCAACAAAAGGAGCAACGCAACAAGGGGACACATAACAAAGGTACAAGCAAAAAGGGGACACTGCAAACAAAGGAGCAAACGGCAACAAGGGGACACATCAACAAAGAAACCAAAGCAACAAGGGAACACGCAACTAAGGGGAACCAGCAACAAAGGAACAACAGCAACAAGGGGACACAGCAAAAAGGAACAAAGCAACAAGGGGACACAAGCAACAAGGGGAACATCAACAAAGGAACAAAGAAACAAGGGGACAAAGCAAACAAAGGAAACAAAGCAACAACGGGGGGACACAGCAACAAAGTAACAAGCAACAAGGGGACACAGCAACAAAGGAACAAAGTAACAAGGGGACACAGCAACAAGGGAAAACAGCCAACAAGAGGTAACAAAAACAAAGAGAACCAAGCAATCAAGAGACAAGAGCAAACAAAAGGAACAAAGAACAACAAGAGGGGACACAGCAACAGGAACAAAGCAAAGGGGACACAACAACAAAGGAAAAAGCAACAAGAGGACACAGCAACAAAGGAACAAAGAACAAGCGGACACAACAACAAAGGAAAACAAAGCAACAGAGGACACAGCAACAAAGGAACAAAGCAACAAGAGGGACACAGCACAAAGGAACAATGCATCAAGAGGACACACAAAAAGGAACAAAGCCAAAAGGGGACACAACAACAAAGGAACAAGCAAAAAGTGGGACACCAGCAACAAAGGACAAAAGCACAAGAGGACACAACAACAAAGAAAAGAACAAGTGGGACCAACAGAACAAAGGAACAAAGCAACAAGAGGACACAGCAACATAGGAAACAAAGCAAAATGGGGACCACAAACAAACAAAGGAACAAAGCAACAAGAGGAACAGCAACAAAAGGAACAAAGAAACAAGGGGGACACTGCAACAGGGACACAGCAAAAAGGGACAAAGCAAGCAACAAGGGGACACAGCATCAAGGTTACAAAAGGCAACAGAGGGGGTCACAGACAAGGAACAAACAAACAAGAGGACACCTCCCCCCCGTCACAAAGCTTCAAGGGGAACTAGCAACAAAGGAACAAAGCAACTAGAGGACACAGCAACAAAGGAACAAAGCAACAAGAGGACACAGCAACAAAGGAACAAAGCAACAAGGGGACACAGCAACAAAGGAACAAAGCAACAAGGGGACACGCAAACAAAGGAAC